TATGGACTATAGATGAGAAGCACCTGAACGTTTTCCCTCACCTCCCTTGCCACCCAAACATGGCCATAAGTGGTTTCCAACTGCTTATGCATTTACCTTGTTATGTAGAACATGACAACCAGAAAAGATCCTTCCTGGCACTGAGCCACAAAACCACTAATGTGGTAGAAAACCTGCCTTTTGATCGGTGATGCTTCCAGAGAAAGATCTTGATCAAAAGGGGGGAATGTGAAAATTAAGGAGAAACCTCACTTAAGTAGAGTCAGGAGGCTAGAAGGACGACCCATACCACTCAATAACAGTTACAGGAAGAACTGTCAATTATACAGCCCAACACGAGGATCAACAGGACAGAATTATCAATTATAGACCTCAACAATATATATATTGAATCTATAAGAAATTGACTACCCCTGCAACTCAGCCAATGAGAAACTATCATCACCCCGAACTCTTGCTTTTTAACAAAGGACTTTCATTCAAAACACCCCTCCCAACCTCCTCCTTCTCTATAAAATAACATTTGTTTATTGGGCTTGCCTGTGAGTCAGCAGTAGTGAGAAGGAGGACACAAGAGAGGGTATTAGAAGGACAGCAGAAATCTCTAGACTTCCTTAGTTCCAGGTTGGCTGACCACAGAGTTGGTTAGGGGCTAAACCAAATACAAGACTGCAATGACATTTCCCATTGCTTCAGAATATATATATTTTTTTTAAGATTTTTTTTTTATTTGAGAGAGAGAGAACGAGAGAGAGCACGAGAGGGAAGAGGGTCAGAGGGAGAAGCAGACTCCCCGCTGAGCAGGGAGCCCGATGCGGGACTCGATCCCGGGACTCCAGGATCATGACCTGAGCCGAAGGCAGTCGCTTAACCAACTGAGCCACCCAGGCGCCCCAGAATATATTAATATAGGAGGAAGCCAGGTATTGGAGGAATGCATCAGTCTAGGACGTTGTAGTGACTGGATATATTAGCATACCAAAAAAATATAATTTGAAGTGTTTGGAGAACAATTACTTTTATTATTTCTAATAAGGAAGAGGGAGATTCAATACATTTATAATTAAACTGAATTTATTTTGTTAGTTTCACTTAAATCCATGTAAAAACTATTTTTAAGCCCTTCTATTTTTGACTGATTTTTATTTAGGCTAGAACCAAAAATAATTTAGACATCTGAGATAACCCACTACCACAATTTCTACATTTCTGCTATACTGCTTATCACAATTTGCTGCACATTTAGTATTTTCCCATTGCCCTAAACCTCAAGCATTTTAAGAAGAGGCCCAATTTTATTCTATCTTCTTTTTAGGATTTTATTTATTTATTTTAGAGAGAGAAAAAGAGAGCATGCATGTGGGGGAGAGGCAGAGGGAGACAGAGGAGAGTGAGACTCTCAAGCAGACTCTCCCCTGAGCTGAAATTGAGTCAGACACTCAACCACTGCATTTTCTTGATGTAGGACAGTACTTCATAGATACTAAGGGATTAGAAACAAAGTAAGAAAGAGCTTGAATAAGAGTACAGACAGACTTTGGTAATAGATGGCTCAATAGCTTGCTGTTGTTTTAATTAAATCATTTAACCTCTATAAGACTTAAATTTTCTATTTATAAAATGAGTAATAGAATTTTTTTCAAGGGATCTGAGACCAATAGTTAGGAACTATAAAGAGGAAAAATTAATTGCATTGTAAGAAAATCCTTACAAACAATTTAATTTTCCTAAAAGCTCTGTTTCTAGAAGCAGAGTACCTAATCAATTGAAGTGGTCAAACACAGGCTTAAAGAGCATTTGGCAGGAGCATTGAAAAGAGAATTTAAACAATGGAAGAATGGTTAAGGTAGAAGTCCTTTCCAACATGGCATTTGGTGATAGCCAACGATTCTTCCATGGGATTACTGTAGCACTGCAAGGCTTTGTGCATAGCACAAACACAAACACTTTGGTAATTGGCCCTACTACCAGTATTGCCTCCAAGGGGTAATTTCTTTGTATACCATTTTACTCCAATTCTAGGTGGCAACAATAACTTTTCTATTTACTTCCTGGATTTGTTGTAAGGATAATAAATTTCAACAAATGTTGAACAGGAATAGTTACAAAAGAAAACAAAATGCTTTATTAAATGTGTTTCAATGGTGTTCCCTACTGTCCCCTGTGACATAAGTCTTATTAACTCAACTGTATATATTATCTCTTGCATGTGAGAGATTAATAATTTGGAAGCCAACAAGTCACCATCTTTTGAGCCTGATGCATTCCTATGTTTGGCTGCAATTCAAGCTTGCTCAGAAAAATAAGGGTATACACATGTAATAATTTTATAAGTTGTTTATTTACAAGTTTTTCATTGATTTCAGAGCAAAGAATCACAGAATTAGAAAGCACTTGAGTCAATGTATGCAGATTTCTCTCTCATCACTTACCATTTCGTCTACAAACATGTATTATTATTCATCTTTAGGCACACTGAACTAATGAATGCTTCTTTAATATTCTGCATTGTTCAGCTATTGCCATGATAATGCTACATGACAAATCCACTCAAATTTAGGAGCTTGAAGCAACTAGTGTTCGTGGTTTTTCTACTTCACCAGTCTGTGCGGTGGCTGGAGCACATGTGCTTCAGGCTATGAGTTGGCTGGGCTTTGCTCTAGTCTTTGATTTGAGTTCAGGTCTGTTCCATGTGTTTCCCTCCTTCTCCTGAGACCAAGGGTTACCTGCCTCATCTTTGTGCATAGCAGTGCCTCTTAAGATCTTGACTCAGAACTAGCAGGTTGAGTCATCTGCCTACATTTCATTGACATGGCCAAACCTACACCAATGCGGAGGAGAAACATCCAGATATCTGTGGTTACATTAGTACCAAATGTGACCAGGTAAGTGCTCATACATACTTGTAGACTTCATGGCTATTAGAAATACAAAGGATTTCACCTTCTACCAAAGCATAATTCTAGAGGACTATTTTGGTTTTAGTATTTCAGTTGTTACAAATATATTATATTGAGTGAAATTTAACATACTCAATCTTCTTCCAATTAGGCTTAAAGGTCCCCTGAAAAGGAGTATATTTTCCCTTGCATAACACAGCTCTTTCAAGTAACTGAAATAATTTCTCCATTCTAAATAGCCCCAATGGCTTCAGCCCTCCTCCCCCACCATAAGCCCATTATCCAAATGTCTCTCGAAATAAATGAGTTTGTTAATATATGAATTTCAAAGTCTTAGTATATCTCATAAATATAGAAAGAAACCATGTATTTCCAGTGGCTTATACCAATAAGCCAGTTAATGCAGTTTTTTTTAATAGTTACATCAAATAGATGAAATAATAAACATTTCAACATATACATTCTTTAAGTACAAAAGGAAAACAATGTAATGAAGGTCTGTGTACCTATGACCTAGGTTTTCAACTGTTAACATTCTTCTTTATTTAATCAGAACTTTATGCAACATGAATCATTACATATATAGCTGAAGTCCAGTTTGTATCTCTCTCCTTCCTGCTGGAGAAGTAGCCACTAGCTTAAACATATCCCAAAAATTTATCACATCTTAAGCCACAAAGTAAAATTATATATATCAAATAATCTCCTATAGACCACATTTTTTGCAATTAGATTAAAAATCAATAAAAGGATAAAAGCTTATGTGATAAGAATACCTGCTTACATACTGACTGCAGCATTCTATTTAAGTCAAATGTGTTCTTAAATCTACAATTGCACTACCTTTTGATGTAGCCCTTACTGACAGAGGTGCATTAAAGTTTCCCACTATACAGGCTTTTAGATTTATGCTTTTTAGATTTATACATTTGTCTTGAATATTATAGACCAGAATTTATCTTTGATTTTTTTCTTATTGCAATCTGACATTTTTACACCTTCATAATGCTTTTTGCAATAAAATCTATTTTGTCTGATTTTAATACAGATGTACCCACTTTGGGTTTGGTTACCTTTTGACTATTTTTTTCCCCAATCATTCTTTGATTTGCTAACTCTCTGTACTCTATGTCTCTTTTAAACCAAAGAAATACAGGTTAGTTTTGTTCTTTTATTCAATATAATGCCAACAATTTACTTGACTATTCTGGGAGAGATAATATCTCCATTTCCATTTATTTTGATTCCTGATAGATTTATTGTGTTTCCTGTTTCTTCTTTCTTTTCAACTTCAAAATGTATTCATTTTTTATTTATTTTCCCTTTCCCCTCTGCTAGTTTTTAAGTTATAGTTCTAAGACTTTTCTTTTTAAGAACAGTTTTAGGTTTACAATCGAGAGATGTTTTATGTCTGGCATTTGATATGTTTATATTTTAACATGATTATATTTAAGGTATGAAATGAAATAAAATTTCCATCCTCCCCCCAAATACAGCAAGCCTTTTAAAGATTTTTACTCTGACTCCTTTGCCCATTTTACTTGTAACTGCCACATAGTATTTTTGTCCCATATTTTTATATACACCAACAATGCTCTCCACCTCCCAGTCTTCCTTCTCCTTGTTCCTATCTATACATTTGTAAATTAATGTACTAGATTACACTACATCTTGGTTAGGTCATCCATTCCACCTAACTATCTCTAGCCTTGGTTCCATGAGCATATATGCTAAGTAGACTTCCCTTTTTTATGTCACTAAATTTTTTTTAAATAAAAGCTATCACCAGATTAGGGTCTAAGATAAGTTTTGCATATATCTGAGGAAGAATAAACTATTCCGTTAATTTTATAACCTTAGATGGCAATATTATATCTACACTTATATTTTTATGTTTAAAAAATTAAAGTAATGTTAACATACTCTGGCTGGCAATGAGTCACATTTTCCTGCCAATTCTTTTATTTAATTTCTCATCACTATTGCAAATTTGCTCTTGTCCTGTTTGAATTGTTAAACTCTTCTTTGTGGTAAATGTATTTGAGATTAAAGCCTAAATTTAGGCCTCAGAAATTGAAGAGATCTAAGAAAATTACCTACCTGACCAGCAGTGTCCAAAATGTCCAAATAAGCTGGCTCATTGTCGATCCTAACCTGCGTCTTATAGGCATCTTCTGAAAAACACAAAACAGTTTACATTCAGGTACATTCAGCTGAAGAGGCATAATTCATTTTTAGATTTCATAACCAAGAATTTCTAAATAGTTTAAGAGAACGAGATATTCTTTTTGTATTCGAATACAAAAAGTAGGAAGGATATAACCCAGGGAAATATAGGAGAGTGTTTCTGCTTAAAGTGAAGTCAGGTTTATTTCTTCATCAGGAGATTATGATTTGAGGTACCTTTGTCATATTACCTACAGAACAAATCTTGAAACAAATTCATCAGTTCTTTTTTTCATCTTGCACTGCAAATGTGTATTCCAACATCATATTCAATGAAAGACTGAAAGCTTTTCCTCTAAGATCAGGGACAAGTAGGCCTGCTTTAGCTTTTATTTAACATAGTACTAAAGTCCCAGCCAGAGCAATGAGATAAGAAAAATAAAGTCATCCAAACTGGAAGAGAAGCAGTAAAATTTTGTTTATAGATAACATGATCCTATAAATAGAAAGCTCCAATGATTTCACGGGGTGGGAGTGAGGTGGGGGTGCTGTTGGAACGTCTAAAAAATTCAGCAGGTGCAGGATACAAAATCAAACACACAAAAGTCAATTGTCTTTCCATACACTGATGATAAACAATTTAAAAGCATCAAAAGGAATCAAATAGGAATAAACTTAACCAAGAAGGTAAAGAATTATATACCAAAAACTATAAAGTTGTAATGTGTTTGTGTACTTGTACAAATTTATATATTCTGGATTCTAAACATTTATCAGATAGGATTTGTAAATACTTTTTCCTATTCTGTAGGCTTTTTAACTTTAATAATGGCATTTGATGCATGAAAGTTAATTTTTATGGAGTATAGTTTCTTTTGTTCATGTTTTTAGTGTCCTAAGGATCTATTCTAAAATTCAAGGTCACGAATATTTAACCCTATGTTTTCTTCTAAGAGTTTTATAATTTTAGCCTTTGCCTTTAAGTCATTGATCCATTTTCAGTTTTGTTTTTGTTTAGCAGCTTTTTAAAAAAATTTTTAATTTAAATTCAACTAGCTAACATATAGTAGTACATCATTAGTTTCAGATGTATTCAATGATTCATCAGTTGCATATTTATTTACTTTAAAGATTTTATTTATTTTTCAGAGGCAGAGTGAGCATGCGAGCAAGAGAGCACAAGCAGAGGGGGTGGCAGGCAGAGGGAGAAGCAGGCTCCCCGCTGAGCAAGGAACCCATGCTGGACTTGATCCCAGGACCCTGGGATCATGACCTGAGCCTAAGGCAGATGCTTAACCAACTGAATCACCAGGTGTCCCAGTTGTGTGTTTTTTAATATGTTGTTTGGTAAGGATACAAATTCTTCTACATACAATTCTCTTATTATCCTTTATTTCTGTAATGTTGGTACTGATTGATGTCCCCAATTTATTTGAGTAAACATTCTTAATCTAGCTAAAGCTTTCTCAGTTTTGTTCATCTTTTTAAAGTAACTTAGTATCATTTTCTCTTTTTTTCTCCTTTATTCTCTATTTACCTCTCTTTTGATCTTTAGTATTTCCTTCCTTCTATTTGCTTTGGGTTTAGTTACCCTCCCCCCATTTCTTAAGGTTTAAAGTAAGGTTATTGAGATCTTTTTTAATATGAGTATTTACAGTTATACGTTTTCCTTTCAGCACTGCTTTTGCTGCATCCTATAAATTTTGGAATGTTGTGTTTTATTTTCATTAATCTCTAAGTATTTTCTAATGCCCTCCAATTTCTTCTTTTACCCATTGGTTGTTTAATTTCCTCATTTTTGTGTATCTTTGAAACTAGAAATCTACAGAAGAAAAACATTCTATTGTGACTGGAAAAGATAATCTGTATGACTTCAATCTTCTGATATACACTTGGAAAATCAAGGACTGCTTCCTGGAAGAAGTAGCACCTAACCTGAGTAGGAGTTAGGATAAAGTCAAGACAGAGGAAAGGCAAACTGAAAGCCAGAATCCCAGAGGTTATAAAAATTGAGACAAGGGGCACCTGGATGGCTCAGAGAGTTAAGCCTCCAACTCTTGATTTTGGCTCAGGTCATGATCTCAGGGTCCTGGGATCAAGCCTAGTGTCAGGCTCCCGGACTCAGCAGGGAAGTCTGCTAGTCTCCCTCTCACTGTGCCCCTACCCTGCTCATGCTCTCTCTTAAATCTTTTTTAAAAAACGATGAAACAGGGCGCCTGGGTGGCTCAGTTGGTTAAGCGACTGCCTTCGGCTCAGGTCATGATCCTGGAGTCCCGGGATCGAGTCCCGCATTGGGCTCCCTGCTCGGCAGGGAGTCTGCTTCTCCCTCTGACCCTCCTCCCTCTCATGTGCTCTCTCTGTCATTCTTTCTCTCAAATAAATAAATAAAATCTTTAAAAAAAAAAAAAATAAAAAAAATAAAAAAACGATGAAACAAAAGTAACCAAATAATTTCAGTGTAATTAAATCCTAGAGTTTTGGGAAGAGAATTTGAAATTCACGAGGTAAATCAGACTTGCCTATGAATATATTAAATGGAATCATGTTTTTGAGTGAAGCAGTAAGACTGTTGGGGTTTAAATCCTGACTCTACCACTACCCGTTGTCTGATTTGGGGTGGGGGGGAATCACTTGGTCTCTCTAAAATGCATATTACTCTTTTGAAAGTTTTAATATTTCTATTTAACTCATGGAGTTGCTCAGAGGATTCAGGGAGATAATGTGTGAAAGGCATCCAGCACAGTGCCTTGTGTATAGAATATACTTAATAATGCTTATTTATGGCTTTTGTTTTTAAGAAATTTGGACTCTATCATAATGCCACTATCAGATATGCATTTTGGAATTCTCACTCAGGCTGAAATGCGGTAAATAGATTTTAAGGTGGGAAACTATATTCTGACAATGGCACTAGGGTGGAAAAAGAGCAGACAGATTTGCAAGATATTTAGAAAGTTGAACCTATAGCACTTAGTAATATATATAGGGGACAAGGAGGGGGGAGGATGCAAAAGTAGCTCTCCAATTTCTGGCACTTGCAGATGGGCAGATACCTAGGATGTTTACTCAGAGAGGGAGGAAAGGAGGGCCACCACAAATGCAACTTAGAGAAGGACTTTGCCATGTCTGTATCATGGAAGTGGCAACAGTGAGTACCTGGGTCTGAAGCTCTGGGGAGAGATCTGAGAGTTACTTCATTATATCCAATGATTTCCTCATTTCTTCCAATCATGATTGGAAACATGGTTGGGCCTCCTGAGCCTGGAACTCAAACCCCTAGAATCTGGTTATAGCTTCTGTTTGATCTGCCATTTATATTGTAAGTAAAGAGCAAACTGAACCACTACTAAAAGCATTTAGAACAGCACTGAATTTTGGCACCATTTCAATACTTATTCATACTGTTGATTTTGAACCACAAAGGAGTTATTTTAAGAACCTTTTGGTTTGCAAAGTAGTAATGAAAGGGGAGCTTTTTAAACACACACCCTGAGCACCTCCCCCAAATTAGGTTTTTGCTAGCTGCTGGAGATATGAAGATAGACCCACACATGCACACACACACACCATCATGGTCTCTACCCCCCAAAAACTTAAACAGTCATGGTGGAAGACACACAAACGTGCAATGAGATGTTAAGACCCAAAAATTTATAGGGCATATAGCCTACCCCTTTCCAGGAAATTCATTCTTTATAACTTTGCTGCAGAAATAAAGTTGGAGGAAGTCTAACTACCAGGGTGGTCAATCTGGTGTAGTTTGAACAACTACCGGCCATTCTCTAACACCATTCAGTATACAGGCAACCACACAGTCTCTTTTCCATTCTACTGCTCTTTGTACTTTCACTGATCCTCCTCTTACACAATAGAAATCTTGTGGAATTTTTTTTTTTTAATGCATAGAGTTGTTCTTCAATTTCATAGGGAAATAAGAATAGTTACTCTGAAAAGGACACGGTGACCTAAGAATCACATGTGAGTCTTTCAGAATTCCTGTTTGTTTATTTAACTCTAAAGCCCCAAAAGGAGCCTGCTGAGGCCAGGAGCATGCTGAGTAATCCAGAGGAGAACTGCTCTGTGTGATTATTGGAGCCCTAGATAAACCCAGCACATGAAACGTATATCAAATAAAAGCTTCTCCTGGGATCAGAAAACCCCTTCAAAGAGACTTGATGTGAATTGGCTGGAAATTAAGCCAGGCCTTCTATCCAAGATTTCTTTCTCTCTTTTAAGAAGTGTCTATCACAGTACACATTCCAGTATTGTGAATCTAGGTCACCTCCCTGGCCTCCATAGAAACTAATCCCTTTCATTTCCTTCCAATAAACAATCTTCCCTCCTGTTTCCATCCATCCACTCCCTTTGAGACCTCCCATGTAGAAATGCAGTGACAGAAATACTCTCTTGAATACATAAAAACACCTCCCTGAATTTCAATCATCTGCCTATAGATGGAACCCTGAAGTGAGCTCATTTATCTTCCAAAGCAAGAGGCCAAATGTATACAAAGCTTTATCAGGCAGAAATAGTAGCAACTGCCTGCTATGTTGTTTGCACTGAAAAGCACAATGGAGCTAGATTCTTAGAGACATCTCTAAATTCCACCTTAAATTCTAAAATTCTACCTTAAAATGCTACTTCAAAATTCGTTTGAAAACACTGGTGTTTGAAACCCTTGCTTCTCTTAGGTCTTCGCTTTCCTTCTCTAGAATTTTACAGGAGGAAATCACCAAAGACCTGTATTAAAGCCTCACATCCATCACTAAATTTTGGTGTTATAAGTGGCCAACCACTTAATCTTACTTGTAAGATGGAGTTAATAGTACATGCTAGTCAGTGCATAGGAGTTCTAGAAGGATCAACTAAAGTGGAATATAAAATGGTGCCAGAAAAAAGAAAAGAAACCACAATTCAAACTCAAGGAATGTTATGTAATAATTTTAAAAAAAAATGCTTCAAGTTAACCATAAAATCATATTAAAACTAAACCACTTCTACTTCTGCC